GTACGACACGCGTAATCAGTGGTTCCTAGAGCTAGACACAAGTTCAGATTTCAGAAGCAGAACTTGAGTGCGGCTCCTCATCCTAAAGGAAATCAAAGCAAGCAAGGAACGTGTTGTTTGATGAAGCGTGAAAACATAGGTTCTAACAAAGTAAGGCCTCGTTTAGTTCCGCCGAATTGGCGCCGACAGGAACACTGTAGCGGCACTGTAGGTACAGTGTCGTTTTATTTTTATTTGGTAATAATTGTCCAATTGTTGACTAATTAGGCTCAAAACGTTCGTATCGCAAAGTACAACCAAACTGTGCAATTAGTTTTTGATTTCGTCAACATTTAGTACTCCATGCATGTACCGCAAATTTGATGTGACGGGGAATCTTCTTTTTGCATAGTGTCGAATTCTGGAATTCGGAGGGAACTAAACGCGGCCTAACAATGAATGTAATTCGCAAAAAAAAAGTAACAATGAGGTTTATGGTACTGCTAAAAATGATTGTCATTTAGCACCAGCTAGATATGCTTGTCTCGTTATTAGACTGCTCCAAATGTCACGTACCTTAGTATTAACTCTATCCAAAATGAAGAATTGTTTTTAAGACTTTGTATCAACTCGATATATTATGTTTGAAAATTTGAATAAATCTTCTTTATTAAAAAAATACCTTGGAACAATATGAATATATAAGACGATCCTGCTTTCCTCTCTTCCTCTCTCCCTCTAGTAAAGCAACTAGCGGTCCGCATCACTCCAGTACAAATTGGAAGCAGGTGTGCAGCTTGAAATGGTGTGGCTATTCACTGAGGCCTACTAGGCCCTGTTTAGATCTGCTAAAAATATCATTATATCTTGTAGCCAAGTTTACCAAAGGGTACTAATCATTACCACATACTCCCTCAGTCCCTAAATGTCAGTTGTTTTTCCTTCGAGAAACCTTTGACTAAATATATATTAAAAAATATTAATATTTATGATACATAATTAGTATCATTGGATAGATATTTGAATCTAGTTTTTTAATAAATTTATTTGGAGATAGAAATATTGCACGCATTTCCTCTAAATCGAGTCAAAGTTATCGGTACATAAATCGTGGCGACAAACATTAAGGGACAGAGGGAATAGTAAGGCCCTCAATGAAATGTAGGAATTTTTCTCGTTTTCTATGTTTTTTTATAAAAATAAACTGATTCCTGTGATATTTCTATTATATTCCTGTAAATTTTTTGCATTCCAAAAATGTCCTAATAAATGGTTTTAGATTTTTTTTGCTAATTCTTAGTCAGTTTTCCTTCTAGTGACGAATCGACGACCGCTACCCGCTAGGGACACCACCCACGTGACCTTATCACTTCTCAGTTCTCCTTTATTTTACTCCGAGTGGAAAGCCCAATTCCAAAATGCCGGCCGCCCGGCCCCATGGAGCTCAGCCTGCTGTACAGCCATACCTGTCACGGGTAACCTGCTCAGCCACGGCGCTTTCGGAGCCCAGTGCCTCAGCCATCAGTCACGCACACCAACCTCCTGCTGTCCTGCATCCAAGAACAAGAACAGCACGTCCGGATCATCTGCGACCGCGAGCACTCGCTCCAACCGTCGCCTCGCCGATCGGTGCAGCTCCAGGCGAAGCGGCGATGAGCTCTGGAAAGGCGCAGCAGCAGCCGCACGCCGTGCTCATCCCGCAGCCGGCGCAGGGCCACGTCACGCCGATGCTGCACCTCGCCAAGGCGTTGCACGCCAGGGGGTTCCGCGTCACCTACGTCAACTCCGAGTACAACCACCGCCGCCTGCTCCGGTCCCGCGGCCAGGACTCCCTCGCCGGCACCGACGGCTTCCGCTTCGAGGCCGTCCCCGACGGCCTGCCGCAGTCCGACAACGACGACGTCACGCAGGACATCGCCGCGCTCTGCCTGTCCACCACCGAGCACAGCGCCGCGCCGTTCAGGGATCTACTGGCGAGGCTGAACGCCACGCCCGGCAGCCCGCCGGTCAGCTGCGTCATAGCTGACGGCGTGATGAGCTTCGCGCAGAGGGTCGCCGAGGAGATGGGGATCCTGGCCTTGGTTTTCTGGACCACCAGTGCGTGCGGCTTCATGGGGTACCTCCACTTCGCAGAGCTCATCAGACGAGGCTACGTACCACTGAAAGGTACATCAGTTCTGTCGGATTCAGACAAGAATTAATCGAGTTGAGCTCGGATCTGATCTGAAACCAATAATTTGCCAAAATTAACTAGCCGCACACCGAGGGCTGCAATGTGACGTCTTTGTTCTTGTTGTGCACTCCGCTTAGACGAAAGTGACCTGACGAACGGGTACCTGGACACCGCGATCGACTGGATCCCCGGCATGCCGGGCATCCGTCTGAAGGACATCCCCAGCTTCATCAGGACGACGGACCGGGACGACGTGATGCTTAACTTCGACGGCGGCGAGGCGCAGAACGCGCGCAAGGCCCGCGGGGTCATCCTCAACACGTACGACGCGCTGGAGCAGGACGTGGTGGACGCGCTGCGCCACGAGTTCCCGCGCGTGTACACCGTCGGCCCGCTCGCCACGTTCGCGAACGCCGCGCGAGGAGGCGGACTGGACGCGATCGGTGGGAACCTCTGGAAGGAGGACACGAGCTGCCTCCGGTGGCTGGACACGCAGCGGCCGGGCTCGGTGGTGTACGTCAACTTCGGCAGCATCACGGTGATGACCGCCGCTCAGCTCGCCGAGTTCGCCTGGGGCCTGGTGGGCTGCGGCTGGCCGTTCCTGTGGGTCATCAGGCCGGACCTCGTCTCCGGCGAGAACGCTATGCTGCCGGAGGGGTTCGTCACGGACACCAAAGAGAGGGGAATCCTGGCGAGCTGGTGCCCGCAAGAGATGGTGCTCTCGCACCCGTCCGTCGGCCTGTTTCTGACGCACTGCGGTTGGAACTCGACGCTGGAGAGCATATGCGCCGGCGTGCCGATGCTCTGCTGGCCGTTCTTCGCTGAGCAACCAACGAACTGCCGGTACGTGTGTGACAAATGGGGGATCGGGATGGAGATCGACAATGATGTGAGGAGGCAGGAGGTGGCGCGGCTCGTGCGCGAGGCGATGGATGGAGAGACGGGGAAGGCGATGAGAGTGAAGTCGATATTGTGGAAGGAGAAAGCTCGACAAGCAGTGAACGAAGGTGGATCCTCCGGGAAAAACTTGGACCGACTGGCCGAGTTCCTGCTCGCAGGGAATGATGTCCCTAGCTGAATTTACATAAAAAATGCTTCGTGCTGATTTTTAGCTTCTCCTAAAATTTCTTTTTGGATTGGGTGTTATTTTTATTTCAAATGGAATTTTTTTGATGTCTCGACCCAACTATGTCCAACAGTAATACGAACATACAAATCGTGTAGTAATGGAGACATGGAAACAAAAAGACAAAAGTCTATTTAACCCCTCTAACTATTAGCGGTTTTTTGTTGACGTGATATATATTTATGGTGTGGTGCTGACACGACGGTGAGTCAACAAATAGTAAGAAAAATCTACGTAACCTCCCATATAATAATTTTGGCTACATATCCCTCTTAACTATAAAACTCAGACATTATAGTACTTAAACCGTCTAATAATATTTAAATCCCACCATATGGTTTTGTAGAGTTGTTTGACACTGTATCTTGCCGCAATGTCCAGAATTTTCATGCTTGTCCCATAGCCTGATGAGCAGCACACAACCTTCAGGGATCACCTATGGATTTGTTTGGTTAATGTCTAACTTTCCACAGCCAAGGTTAGTTAAAGTGTGGGAGCTAAAAAAAACTGTGGCCAATAAATTTGGTACCATACTTATGGCAAAGTTTAACATTAAAATGACTCTATGATACGTAGGGCATATATATAGTGTAGTTAAGAAAGTTTGGCACATATAGTCCAGAGTCCTATAGTTGTTCCTAGCGAGGAGATGAATTTATATGCTGTTTTTTAGAAAGGAAATAAACTTGTATGAAATCCGTTTGTATGTATTATATACAAGAAAAAAAAATGCAAAGGTGGAGCCTGGACTTATGGGCCGAACAAATTTGATCATCCACTACTGCACCAAATGAGCCCAATACTCTTCAGGATGTGATTTCCTCCTTATCGGCCAATCTCAGCATTTTTGGTCCCGTTGCCACCGGCTCCTGTACGATGTTAAATCTCCATCACTACCTGCAAAAATAACAATTGTCAGTTACAGTTACAATCTCCCCGCATCTCGCTCACTGGTAAAATAATGCAGAAGTATAAGGCTAGTGGAGATGATCAGTGTCGCCAAAATAACCGCGTGGTGTTTTGTGGGTAGCATAGTTAATTTGTCCCTCTAATTAATTATGTCGCACGCCATTCGTGTTCCCTAGTTGTTGACCTGTTGTGGACAGTGCACCGATAGCAGTTTGTACTCTCCCACACGGCCACACCCCTAGTAGTTTATTGATACTGTGATACAGACTCTTTGATGTTGGCCCCTCCAGGATTCTCGCTGGTCGACGCCGGCACATGGCTGCCGATTGCCGTGGACCGTGTCTGCTCCAATCAAGGCCCAGCGCCGGAATAATAAAACCCAGCCGGCGCTGTAAGCATCAGCGATTGCTTCGTCGCGGCTCTCCGAGTCACGTATCGGCGCGACGGCACCAATGCCCATGCGCGTGTTGCTCTCTATCCGGCACTATCTGAATTCTGGTAGCCTAGTTACGTGATGCATTGGAGCAGAGGTGTAATGAGTAATGACCTCACAAAAAAACTTGAGGTGAAACGTGAGGTGGTGAGCGATGATCCAAAGAGCCGTATCGATTGCGTCGTCTCCTTGACCACGAGCGCCTTGGCTTTTCTCCCAGTTTCAGTCTGCTGCGCTGGAGATGTCCGTCCCACCCACGATATATACTACTAATATATCCCCACATGCCGGAACTGATTCATGCATGGTGACCATCGCCACACCTTCGTCCATCATCTGCGGTAACACACGGCGGCGTCATCCAACAAGGCAAAACCTCGATGGGCTCCAACGCGCGCCCCCACGCGGTGCTCATCCCGTACCCAGCGCAGGGCCACGTCACGCCGCTGCTGCAGCTCGCCAAGGTGCTGCACTCGAGGGGCTTCTTCGTCACCTACGTCAACACCGAGTACAACCACCGCCGCCTGCTCCGGTCCCGTGGCGCGGACGCGCTGGATGGCCTCGACGACTTCCGGTTCGAGACCATCCCGGACGGCCTGCCTCCGTCCGGCAACGACGACGACGTCACGCAGGACATCCCCACGCTCTGCGAGTCGCTTCTCCGGAACGGCGCCGCGCCGTTTAGGGACCTCCTGACGAGGCTCAACGGCATGCCCGGCCGGCCGCCGGTCACCTGCGTCGTACTGGACAACTTCATGAGCTTCGCGCAGAGGGTGGCCAACGAGATGGGCATCCTCGCCGTCGTGTTCTGCACCATGAGCGCGTGTGGCTTCATGGGGTACCTCCACTACAAGGAGCTCATGGACAGAGGCTACGTGCCACTCAAAGGTACGGTACGGCCTCCCTCATGCGTTGCTATATGCAACATGCTCACATGTGTGTATGTACTGCAGATGAGAGCTACCTGACCAACGGGTACCTGGACACGGTGCTCGACTGGGTGCCCGGGATGCCGGGCATCCGTCTGCGAGACATGCCCAGCTTCATCCGCACGACGGACCCGGACGACTTCATGGTGCACTTCGACAGCAACGAGGCCCAGAACGCGCACCGCTCGCAGGGGATGATCATCAACACGTTCGACGCGCTGGAGCAGGACGTCGTCGACGCGCTGCGCCGCATCTTCCCTCGCGTGTACACCATCGGCCCGCTCCTCACGTTCGCCGGCACCATGGCCCGTCCCGACGCGGCTGCGATCTGCGGCAGCCTCTGGAAGGAGGACCTGAGCTGCCTCCAGTGGCTGGACGCCCGGGGAGGGGACGGCTCGGTCGTGTACGTCAACTTCGGCAGCATCACGGTCATGACGCCGGCTCAGCTCGCCGAGTTCGCGTGGGGCCTGGCGCGCTGCGGCAGGTCGTTCCTGTGGGTTATCAGGCCGGACCTCGTCACCGGCGACAAGGCTATGCTGCCGGAGGAGTTCTACGCTGAGACGAGAGATAGAGGGCTCTTCCTCAGCTGGTGCCCGCAGGAACAGGTCCTGTCGCATCCGTCCACCGGGCTGTTCCTGACGCACTCTGGGTGGAACTCGACGCTGGAGAGCATACGCGCAGGCGTGCCGATGATCTGCTGGCCGTTCTTCGCCGAGCAGATGACCAACTGCCGATATGCCTGCACCAACTGGGAAATTGGACTGGAGATTGACAACAATGTCACGAGGGCGGAGGTGGCACGGCTCATAAAAGAAGCCATGGACGGTGACAAAGGCAAAGACATGAAGGCCAAAGCAACAATGTGGAAGGAGAAGGCCGTGGCGGCGACAGATGGCGGCGGGACCTCGAGCGTCAACATTGATCGTTTGGTCGAATTCCTGCTTGAAGGAAATGTTCCTGCAGCTGCAAGCTAATAATATGAACAGTACATGCATGTGAATTCCAAAGTTTAATGTTACCAGTAAATTTGTACTACTATGTAAGTATAAGTACTGAATTTCTTTCTTTGATGACGGTCGGTTTAACAGTAGAAAATATGGTGTCGCATGAACATGTCAATTTCAGAATTCAGAGTGAAGATGCAAGCTTGCTTGTCAGTATTCTCAGGTAAGCCTGTAGTTTCACCTGTCATACTAAAGAACGAACAGCGAATCATTTATAATAGAACAGAAGTTGAAATTGGTGCCGTTGCTACTGTACTGCACATTGAGATACGAATTAACAGCACGGCAGTACTTTGAACACTAACATGCCACCGGAACTTATGCTAGCGAATTCCTGAATTTTGAACTTGAAATTCAGTCGGGCGTACAATGGATTCGGTGAAAAAATGCAATGCAAGAATTCAAAAAAGAATTATTAGAAATAATGAAAGAACAATTCTTTGGGTACTTTTTCAGTCAAGATGTGAGAATATCATGGACTCTGTTACAGACCACCAATAGTCTGCATCAGATTGACATCAGATCATGTTGCCAGGATTCTCAGAAAGTCAATTTGGTGTGTTTGGATCTGAATCTGACACTACAGGCCTCGAATCTTCCTGGTTGTTTGTGATGGTAGCTGGAGTTGAAGTTGGCTGAGCTGACTGAGAGCCTGCTAAGAATGCCAGCGGTAAGATATCAGTTTATTGAAAACAAAGTGATTGTTTACAGTTCTTTTCTGCAATTAACATATGTTACATCCAACTGTAAAAAAATGGCATAATTTTATGATACCAAGATTTTATAGTAACAGTTATCTTGCAACATTAGAATTATTAAACCAAAATGCGTTTGTTTCCCAGGTTTCAGCAAGAAACACCACGCTAACTGACAAAGAATGATTGGAGTAGCATACCAGATGCATCATCAGATTCCCTTGAGACTGCATGAGGGGGCAGCTGGAGTCTGAAATTAGGCGGAAGCGACGGCCCTGGTGGGAAAGAACCATCCATCTGTGCCATTGGCTGCTGAAAGAACGGTGGTCGCATGGGTTGCTGCATCGGCGAGAATCCAGTCCTTGGACTTGGGCCACCAGGCAAATACCCCATGTATTGGTAGGGTGGTCCAGAAGGAGAGGCTGGACCATACATCTGAGGGTAGTAATGTTGTAGCACTTGAGAATTGTACAATGCCTGCTCATCAATTTTCAGGTTTCATGGTTTCAGTTAGATTGCCAGGTTGTGCTAGTGTCTCATTCTGGTACAAAATGCATGATGAGTTTGATGACCAATAAACAAAGGCCCTATCATGCAGACATCACCAGGTTTCATTACTTAAAATACTTTGTATTCAAAGATAAGAAGTTTCAATACTGAATTCAGAGTTTCAGACCATGGCAAGTAAACAGTGTGATTTAGCCAATAATTCATGTAGTAATGCCAATTATTGCAAAAAACAACAAAAATGACATTGAAGGGGAGGAGATGAAATGGAGACTGGATTGCTTGCCTGTTGGTATGGATAATCAGGTGGGTACCAGTACCTGCAAAAGTTTGCAGAACATCTTCAGTGCCTTTCAAAATAAATATAGTGATTGCGCTGAGCATGAGGCCCATCGCTGTCTCTCACTCCTAGAGACATATCTACCTGCTAGCTCCTAAAAATTATCTCAAGCACTATTATATGTCGAGCTAAAATAAAGCCCCCCCTCTTCAGCTCTTGCATCACATTGCTCAGTATTAATAGTTTATTAGTAAAAGTTGCTTGCTGTTCAATGCTTCTGCACCTTGCAACAAACCTAAAAACATCTGACCAGCTGGCAAGATCACATCAGAAGTACTAATCATCAACAAACAAAATGTCAAGCAGGGGACCTCCAAATAAACATGAAAGCATACTTCATCACAATAGGGATTAAATTAAACAAATACCATCCTTATGAATTCCAAAACTTGATCTCAGAGAATTATCTTGTAAAGAAACTATAGAGTAACTCCTATAGCAAAGAAAGAAGTATGAAGTACCAAATTGGTCATGAAATCCTACTGCAACTTCTAATGAGTACTGCACCTATATGATCCATGCCAATGGATTGATACGGAGCACATATTTGCAAATATCTTTAAAACCAAGTGGAACTAAGAGATGAATGCAGGCAATCAAATCTGCAGCAAACCAACAAAGTGAAGAGATTGTTTGCAGGGTAGGCAACACAGCCCATGGTGGTCTGCTGTCTGGGGTAAGAGAGAAGGAAACAGAGGGTGGCAGTAGCGGGACCTCCAGAGTGAATGCCCATGCTGAGCTGCTGTCTCCCTCCCATCGGCCCAAATTTAATGGGCCTATCTCAGGGCCCAGCAGAAGAGGCATGGGGACACGTGGGCCCATCTGCGCCTCTTGGCAACTGAACCCACCTGTCCAATTAAGGAAACGATAACTAAAAGCTGCGCCGTGAAAGAAACATGACCCTCGGTTCCGTGAAAGTGAAACGCACGCAGATGTCGGCTGCTAGCTCGGTAAATGGAACATCAACAAAGACCAATGACCTTTTGTTGTTCTCCTCCCACAAAAGAGCAGCTCAATAACTTTCTTTTCTATCACAACTCTATCTGGCCTCTAAGGTCAGTTCAGCATGCAAATTCTCTGACGATTCATATGGCTGCGGCTCTCTGAACTTCCAAATACCCAAAAGCAGCCACTACGATAGGGAGTTGTCACGGCCTAACGAGTAACGATGGCTATCCTCTCCGGATCAGAACAAGAAGTGAGAGAGAGAACAGAATGACACGGCCTTGAAATGGACATGTGCCGCCCCTGTCAATTGATAATTCAGAGTTGCGGTGTGCTCGGATCCCACGATGACGATGGACAGCTGCGGTGATACAGGCACGTACGTACGCATACGGCACTCGCTACAAACACACGCGTACGTGGGCAATCTGGCAATGCTCATATCACCAGCGCATCATCGTGAGCTCAGCCGAGCTGAGCCGTACATGGATCTGGCGATCTGCTGCACGTATTTCTACGGCCTGGCTCCAGAGATTTTAAAGAGGGGGAACAGCTGAAACGTATAGGCGACAGGAGCACTCACCCGTACTGGGAATTGTAGAACACCGTGGCGGCCTGAGGCGGGGTCATCTGCGACGGCATCCTGTAGAGCGACCCCTGCGGCGGCTGATCTGGCACGTGCGGCCCGCGGCCGGCACCTCCTCCTCCTCTACCTGTGGTGGCAATGGCACGTTAATTAAACGCAACATGCACCAAAGAAATAATACACCGAACAGTACAGAACAGTGCAGAGAAGAGCAGGCGTATGCTTGCATGTACTACGGACAGGGGAGCATTGCTTGCGACAACAGTTGTGCAGCCTGTGCAAGGGAGGTCTCACCATGTGCCCTGCGCTGGACTGGGGTTTTGACTGGCAAGACGGGCTCTGATTTTCTTTCAGCGTATGATTGCTTAAACCATTATCTTTTCTATGTTTTGGATAATAAAAAAAGATGCCATTCCTTCAAAAAGGAAAAACAATCTGTTCTGCACTGTATTTGGTCTACTACGAATAATAGAGAAAGAGGTTTCTTTAAGTGAGCATTGCGTAGATTAGCACAGTGCTAAATGATTCAAAGCTGTCCTAGCTAGCCAGCACTTGAACCTACTCCATTTGGTGTTGCATTATTGTGTGCGCGCTGTAATGCACTAAACATTTCTGCAGAAATAGCATGCAGGTTGTTCTACTGTGAAAAAGGAGAAAAAGGACCAATGCCATTATAAGCCGACTTATATTTGAAAAATAACAAAATGATGATAATTATCACATAAAAGGGAAATAATAAAGAGGAAAACATTCCAAGTTAAAATAAGAGCCTAGCTAGGAGATGCTTTCTATCCATTATCTAAAAAAAAGGAGATGCAGTATGTATTGGGAGGCAATATTGAAACCAAGGAATGTAAAGAAACTCTACTCTGAAACAAACCGGATAGGGGGGTATAGAAGCAAAAGCTGCATCAACAAAAAGCTTTTCATGCCGCAGAATCAAGCATATATTCCTCAAGTGGTTGACACTCAAACGGGTCAAAGTCTGGAAAGACTACAGGAAGAGTAGTAGTACTGGTAGTATATGCTGCCGAACATTTTGTAAAGCCATGCATCGGTTTTCACTAGAAAAGAAAGGTGGCTGGATTCCTGATTCTCCAGCGATAATCTCCACCCCTTTACACCTCACTGTCGCTGGAACGATGCAGCATACCACCAATGGCGTGCTCCCGGTCAATGCAACTTGATCTTCCTCAGCAAGCAAAGGGGGAAAATAGTACCAGCCCCACCCCACCCGCACTCTCCTTCCGTCACCGGCATTCGGCCAAAATGCTACCAGAATCCATGCATAACAGCACTTCACCGAGATGCCTAGACTAATTTATCACCAGCTAGGTTCTGTTTGGAACTAAGTAAGAAATTGTACTAGACAAAGCCCCTCAAAAATCTCCAAACATTAGCCTGTTCGCTTGCTCGTAAACGATTGTAAATTTCCAGCTGGGAACCGTGTTTTTCTTTTACACCAAACCAGCCAGCAATAAATAATCCACGATACGATAAGGCCTCCCGAACAGGCTGCATATTGTAAGCCAGATTTCATTGCTATCCTAGACTGAACAAGGTGGTGGGGTTGCCGGGGTGGGGATGGGGTGAGTAGACCAGATAGCGTGCAGGCGTGCAGCGAATTAGGGGGCAGCCACTGCAAGGCCAGCCTGGGCTAGCACACAGCCATGAGACCATCAGCCATGGTTGATTAGTGCCTGCCTCCTCCCCCCGTCCCAATGCAGATACACATGTTCCTTTGTTAGTTTCATCCACTCACAACAATCCAGCACCAGCCGCGATCAGGCTCACAGTAGTGGCCGTCCTCGTTCCCGTGCGCTGGCGCCCAGTGTTTCACCAGCTGGGCTGGGGTGGGCCCCACCCATCTGCCAATAATCTCCCCTCCCCCTAGGAAAATCCAGAGCGGAACATGGTGCCCTAAATCAAGCTTATCCGGTTAATCGCGGTACTGCCGCCGGCGCTAATCATGCCCCGGTTATTTACTGCCATGCACATGCGCGTGCCTTGCGAGAGCAAGGAAAGTAAAAAAGACAGCAGGGGGAGCATTGATTTGGTTTGGTTCCTCGGGTCGCTCACCTCCTCTCGGCTGCTGCGCGGCCCGCGGCGGGCCTAACGCCGCAATGTTGCAGTTGGCGCGCCGGTCGGCGATCACCGGGTTCGGGTTCTGCACCGCCCGCGCCGCCGCATCCGGGTCCCGGAAAATCACCTGCGGAGGACACATAGATGGATAACACATCTGGTGAGCATCATATCGATCTGATACAAGGCAGGCGGCGGCCGATCGGCCGGAGGAAGGTCAGAGGCAAAACCGCAAAAGGCAGGGGTCGACTTACGAAACCGTAGCCCTTCGAGCGGCCCGTCTCGCGATCGGTGATGACAACGGCCTCTAGTATCTCGCCGTAAACTTCGAAGTGCTGGCGCAGCCCCTCGGACGGCGTCTCCCACGCCAACCCGCCCACGAACACCTTTGTCAGCGTCGTGTCGCCGAACCGCGACCGGTGGTGATACGCCCCCCCGCCCCCGCCGCCGCCGCCGCCCGGAGGCGCGTGGGCCGGGGACCCACCCGGGCCAGACGACGAGGACGAAGCCGCCATCCGCCGCACGCTACCGTATGTGCTGTCGTCTGCGTCTCGTCTCCCCTCCACTTTGGTGCGGAGGCGCGCAGGGCTGTGGACGCTAGGCTAGCTCCGATCGATTTTTGCGGGCGGCGCGGGCGCGCGGCACGAGCGAACTAGAGCCGGACTCCTGAGTCCTGACTCTTTCCTAGTAGTTTCGCCCGAGCCGTCTTGGGTCGTAGAAAGACCTGCCCTCCTGCGGTTGCTCCTCCCTCCCCTTGGGTTTCCTAGTATACTTCTCCACCTCCATAACCCCCAGGTCCCTCTCCCTCAGAACTCAGTAGAGAGGAGCAGCATATGTTAAGAGAGAGGGAGGAGACGACGGCAGGCGAGCAAAGAGGTGGTGGGGGGAGGGGCCGACGGCCGTGGCTGTGCGCTGCGCTGGAAGAGGGGGTTCGGGTGTGGGATGACAGCTGCTGCATGACCCTTTCTAGTCTCGTTTCCAATGGACTATAATAAGCCCCTGCAACAACGCCAGCCAGCCCCTTCTCCATACCATCTTTTTTTTTATGACGATGCGTCCCCTCTCTCTCTCTCTCTCGGCGAGGACGAGAGATCAGCGCTGTGCTGCCACGTTCCCCCACTTGGGTGGGCGTCCTCCCTGTCCCTCTCGGGCGACCACCCCGAGCCCGGCCCCTACCCGCAAAAGTAACGAACGGCGACGGCGTGGCCTACGCTCGCGCGCGCGCAGGGCAGCGCCGCACCGCATCGGCCTGGAGCCGTCGTCGCCGAGTTGGTGGCGTCGGCGGCTGGCCTGGCCTAACTAAGCCTACTAGCCTAGCCGCTAGGTACGCCTAGTTGGCGTCTAGTCGCGGGAGTTGCTTCCTTGCCCGCATCGGCCACCCCAGCGCAGCGTACCTTGCTTTGCCGCCGATGTGATCAGGTGTGGACAGGCGGACACACGCCAAGCGATCTAGCTGGCTGGAACAAACAAGGAGGGGTGCAAATTCGAAAGCCGGCCACGTGTACTAATCATTAACGAGGTCGTCGTCTCCGCTGCCAACAAACGTCGTCATCAATTTGCTAATGGATTCATTAACTGAGACCTGCCATTTTCGTACGCCGTAGCCGACTTATGCTACGCGGTTACAGTACACGGTTCGGTGGAAACAAAAAACATTTATCCCCCCCTCCCGGTTATGTATTCTGTCGAGAAACTTAGTACAAGCAGATTCCATGAAAGTGCCTACTTATTCCGAGTTGATGACCATGGAGGTGATCGGGGGTCTTTTCTTTTTTTTTTCGATATAGGCTCCGTTCGCTTGTCTAAAAAAATAAGCTAAAAATACTGTAGCGACTGGTTGTGTGAGAGAGAAATACTGTAGCGACTGGAAGATGCACTGTAGCAATATAAGGAGAAGCAGCCGGACCAGCCGGCTGGTCTGAAATTTTTAGACCAGCCGAACGCCGCCATAGTAGAGGAAATGTGGGTCTTCATTCGTTATCCACAAGGCAGGCTAGGGCAGACGGCAGTGAACCGCCGGTGCCACGTCAGCATGCAACGTTTCCGGCGTGGCGAGAGCCTTTGGTTGACAACGCCCCGTGCTGGCCTAGAACGCACTGCGAAATTTGAAGGCATGTTGGCCTTGACCTCTCCTTCGGAGTTCTTGATCCACTGTGGTGCGCAAATCAGTGGCCCTGTTTTCTGTTCTCGTGACAGCAAATCCGGTTTCAGAACTTGGTTCGCTGAATAATTATCCTCATCAACTTGCAACGCCAACGTGGTTGATTATCACTAACTGACAGGAGATTAATTTCCACGACAGTGCGCACTTAGTAGCTTGAAAGTTGAAACACGGAATCGTCCGTTGGGAGGCGCGAGGAGCTGCCGCAGCCTGCACTTTTCTGAAACTCCCTTTGGGCGCAGACGAATACCAGAACACGCAACTTGTGACAGCAACCGATGGGCATGCCGTCGTCGACCTTTCCGCTAATTACCAAGCTGTCCTCTTAGCAATCCAGAACGGATAGAGCTCGCAAAATACTCTACTCGTCGTCCCACATCTCCTGTTTCATCCCCGGGCGGTCCCGGCCCATGAGGCCATGAACATTGTTTATTCTCCCTTTTAGTTTCCAGCGCGCGTCGATCGGCCATTAACAACGGGGCTAATAATCCGCCGGTCGCTGTCAGTCGTCAGACGGGCCTACGAAATCCTCCTGCGAGCACGAGCATTTAACGGCAAGCAACGAGGAGGTGGCCGGTGAAGGTCTCGTAGGAAGCCATGGAGGCCGAGGGGTGTTTAGTTCCTTCAAACAGGACGCGACGTCACACGCGGATACGAGACTAAATGTAGACGAAATTAAAAACTAATTGCACAGTTTGGTTGTACTTTGCGAGACGAACGTTTTAAGCCTAATTAGTCAATGTTTGGACAATTATTACCAAATAAAAACAAACAAGTTACTGTAGCTACAGTGCGTGGCAAATTCGGCCGGCGCCAGCTTGGTGCCCAACTAAACCAGGCCCGAGGGGGAACGGGGCGCGGACGTACACGTACGCCAAACGAGAAGGACGACGCCAAGTAACCCACCTCGACCTCGAGCCTTGTTGGACTGCACGATCCGTCGATCGCCACCCGACGAATCATCCGATGTGCTAACAGAGTATATCACTTGCTACTTGCCCCGTTTTAATTAAATTTTCTCGTTATATGTATGATGACGAGCGGATCTTATTAGCTGGTGTCTGGCTGGTTCAGACAGCGAATGAATGTCGTGCACGCAGGAGCCACCAGACATCAACTAGCGGATGCATTTGTTTATCGTTGCTTCTGCTCGCATTGTTTCGTCTCTGCGCACCTGGCGTCTGTTTCGGCCAGGACGGGAGGAGGGGTTTTGTTTGTTGTCAACTGGCGCGGCGGGATCGTTAGTGGCGGCCGCGCCTTCCGCGCGCTAGACAGCCGGCACCGGCAGCGGCACGAGGCTTGCTTGCCGCGGTACGACACGCGCAAACGTCCATTTATTTCGCGGCGAGCCCGCAAGGGGCAAGGCAAATCGATTTGCCCGGACGCTGGAGGGAGGACGTGAACTGCTCCGGTGGCTGGCAGGCGCGACCGCCATTACTCGGTCCTGTAATCCTCCTGTCCGTAGCCGATGACTTCTGTTCTTCTGGATCTTGGCCCCGTGGCCCTGATCTCTTCAGCAGATTTTGCCGGCAGCAGATCGTGTCCAGCCGTCGATCTTACTTGCAATACTAGGGTGGGCCTACGGCACGGCGCAGCTAAGCTTAACGATCGTTAGCGGATTCTGGAGAGCTGCGTGTTACGGCGAACATGTAATGCGATCAGACCAGAGTTTCGTCATGGAGAATGAAATCACGGAAATGGCTGTATCGTATCGGCAGAATCTGCGCTTTGATTTCACCAGCATCGGGTTCACTTTGCGTTCTGGTGGAAAATTTTGCCTCGTCCAGATGCAGACTGGCCATTACTTTGCTGGATTCTCATTGGCGACTGGCGTGTGACTGTCCTGCTCTGTATCTGTGTGTTGAATCGAGAAACAGTGTGTTGAAGGCTGCTTGCAATGCAAACCTGCAGGCTGCAACTGCAATGATGCGGTCCAGCTGTGGAGGCCTATGGGCTAATGGTTACGGGCCGGTGGGCTCAATCAGCACGTAGGACGCTTGTAGAAGTTGTAGTACCTATGCTTTGTTGCAAATGGTGCTGTACCATTACTTTATTTATCATCATGCTCTGATCTTTCTTCTCGAAAAATTCAAACCATACACCTTCCTCCCAAAACCATTTAAATCATCTCCTTGGTCCAGTTAGAAGTGGTTTCATCATTTTGTAGTTAAACAACTCGGTAAATATCTTATAAGGTTTTTAAACCACAAAAGAATGTCTCTGAGTTTCTAAAATGTCTGAGGGAAAAAACTTAGAGATGGATTGGGACATGATAGATCAAAATAAGATATTTAGAGATCTTAAAAGCATATCTAAAAGTTCCATAAGTTAAATTTAGGTCTAGGGAGATGACAAAAATATCAAAAAAAACTATTTTCCCCTAAAACATTACATTTGATGTATAAACAAATTAAAAACATTCCACAACAAATGTGCAAGATATACTAGCATGAATGCATAAGGCCCTATTCGCTTGAACTACTTCAGCAGTACTTTTTAGTGAATGAATAATGTTTTCCTCTCACAACAAATCAGCATAAGCCAAATTTCAATGAAACGAACAGGGCCTCATGATTTGATTTTATTTCTTTGTTGTAGATTTTTAGGGAGATTTTTTATTTGAGAGCGCCTTTTGTTTAGGTTGTAAAATATTAAGCTGGAGTTCTTATTGCACTTTGAAGACCAATTGTACCTTTCTAGCTTCTTAATTATCTCTAAAGAATGAATAATGCCCCATTGTGTGTATTGTAAGTGGATGGTTTATTTGTTAGTTTGATTTAGAAAATTGTTATTCACATGATGTCAATGATTGGTTTGGTTCATTTCTCATTGCATTATAGACAACAAAAAACTATAACTTATTTGCTATAAATTAGTTGGCATTGTTGTCCGGTGGTGAACTATACATCGATAAGAATGTTAAGAATCTAGCCTTTGGTAGGTGTCTTATTTTTCTTATTTTATTTTCATATAGGAACATATAGTCCCGTTCTAATGCTTGCAACATTGTCGTCGGCTTTTACTTGTAATGTTTTTTTTTTGAAACAACGCCTCGAGTCTATTTATTCATTCACACCGGAGCGGAATCGTGAACCAAAATATCAGATACAAAACTCGGGAGGGGATCAAGCCAAACATGAGGTTGATCCGGGTCCCAATCTAGGCTCAAACGTGCGAGTTCATGAGCACTCCTATTACAAGATCTAGGACAATGAACAATCTGTACTGAGACAAAACATAATGAAATCAGCTCTCGTACTCTTTTGTAGAGGACGGATGCAGGGCTAAGATCACACGGACTGAAGTGCACTCATCGTGTTCATTGAGTCAGTTTCAAGTATAATTTTCCCCATA